AGGGTTGAGAGGCAGGAAGCTCAAGCCTCTTTTGGGACAAAGTTATCTGTCAGGACAGTCCACACTTCTACTTAAGGCTGGTATTGTGTATTACCTGTGCCCATTTGGGCCTAAAGTCGATGATTGCCTTTTGGCAATAAAATCCGGAAGGGATCAGGGCGGTACTGGGTTCCAGTCTTGTGTGAGTTACAGAGGGGATATCATTAGTGTGTAGTCCAGATACACAATTCGCAGTGGAATGCTGTGGCAGGAGGAATGCCGTTTTCCTGGAAAACTAATATAGTGTTACTCATGGGCTCATAATGTGCCTTAATTAGTGCTGATAAAAGTATGGATCAATCCCATTTTGGAAATATATACTTCAGGAGTCTGTTCAGTACTGGGTGCGTATCTATAGAAAGGCCATCATGTTGTAATACTGAAGACAGGGAAGAACTGTTGTCTTCAATGGTGCCATGACTGAATTTCTTGTCATTTCTGAGGTATAGCAATAATTCGGCAACTGTATATAAGTATCGTTATCGCCAGGCTAGTAAATCTCGGGGGCGGGGGCAGGGGCGGAGGCGGAGTCGTCTAAGGCACTGTGATTTGCTGTGCAGAGTTGCGTCCCTTGAGCATGCCAGATTGTGGGTTCGAATCAAGGTTCGCCCCGTGGGTTTCACCGAAGTGGTAAATGTCTGTGACCTGCATTACGTCGTGCTTTCCTCCCACATTAAGCTGACATAACTGGAATAATGTTAAAAGTGGGCGTTAAACCCAACTCACTCACTCACTAGAATAGCCGGCGGCTTGCATCTTAGTCGAGATAATTTCCAGGCATGAAGGTGAAAGTTGTTGAGGCGGCTGTTAAATATGTGACATCACGGTGTTCTCAGAAGATCATGACGTTCTGGGAGTTTCAGAGGTACTTCCAATAGTTTGTTTGTTTGTTGTTTAATGCCACACTCGGCAATATTCCAGCTATATGACGATGGTCTGTAAATCATCAAGTCTGGACTAGACAATCGAGTGATCAATGTCATGAGCATCGATCCACGCAATTGGGCTACAATGACATGGATTAACCAAGCCAGTGAGCCTGACCATCTGTGCATGGGTTGCTGAAGACCTATTTTATCCCAATCTTCATGGGTCGCATGTTAGTGAATACCAATTGTGAAGATCAATGCTCATTATGTCAATCAGTAGATTTTCTGGTCTAGATTTGATCATGTACAGAATGCTGTCATACAGCTGGAATATTCGTCAGTGTGACATTAAACAAAAGTCATATCGCGGATACCTCAAAACAAACACTGGCATCTGGTTGACACATTTATTTTTAGCTCATGTAAATATATATATTATGAGAACAGTTTCATTTCTAAAAACATCATTGAAAATAACACTTGAGCATTTGAATTTGTTTTGTTGCGACCATATTGAAAAAATGGCAACATCAATGAGGGCCAGGCAGGGTAACAACAAGTACAATTTTTTACAGTCATTTGGCATGATGAGGCTAGGGATCGAACCACCGTCCTTGCCATCTCTGGGCAGATGCACTGTCCACTTGACCACAGAGGTGGATCCCAAGACATGAAGCAACCAAATATACATGATAGGAGATGTGCATCCTACCCAGAGGAATGTATACTTTTGTTTTTCTGTGAATTAATATTTACATCAGCAAGTGTAAAAATGCACAAATTACAGTCAAGTCTAGTTAATCCGACAATCGGATTTATCTGACACAAATGATGGGAATCGATTAAATCAGTGCTATTTACACCCGTTAGTCTCGCACTCCGACTCCAACACACCTAATTTGTGCTTTAAATAAAGAAAACAGGATTAATCACATGATTAGATTACCTCAATCTCATTAAAATCAGATACAAGTTCTCGCTATCGCCGAGGACCATTACAGGTCACGTCAGAAGCTCCTTTCGCAAACTATGACCGACCAATGAAATGACTAACAGGAAGTCAACGTTAGCCACTAAGAAAGCAGCTTTCTTAAGCTTCCAGACTATGCTTTTTAAAGTATTTTGAATAAACATATTCCGCTAACAATGCAACATAACAATATGAATATTTCCTTTAAATTTTTATATTACGTGTTTGTATTGTTATCTATCATGTAGTTGTCTGATTTTCGATCACGAACGTTAATGCTATTTAATTTTGTTTATACGACATACTTGTTAATGTGACATAATCATATGCAACGAACCATGTCGGAGTAACTAGACTTGACTGTTCATATAAGAACAGATGAATATATTGCGTGCTTGTGAAATGTGAAGGTTCAAGGTATCAGTTGTGAAATGTGAAGGTTTGTGGTATCACAGTTGTGAAATGTGAAGGTTTGTGGTATCACAGTTGTGAAATGAGAAGGTTCAGGGTGTCACAGTTGTGAAATGTGAAGATTCAGGGTATCACAGTTGTGAAATGTGAAGGTTCAGGGTATCACAGTTGTGAAAATGTGAAGGTTCTAGGTATCCCAGTTGTGAAAATGTGAAGGTCAAGGTATCACAGTTGTGAAATGAGAAGGTTCAGGGTATCACAGTTGTGAAATGTGAAGGTTCAAGGTATCACAGTTGTGAAATGTGAAGGTTCTAGGTATCACAGTTGTGAAATGTGAAGGTTTGTGGTATCACAGTTGTGAAATGAGAAGGTTCAGGGTATCACAGTTGTGATATGTGAAGGTTCTAGGTATCACAGTTGTGAAATGTGAAGGTTTGTGGTATCACAGTTGTGAAATGTGAAGGTTTGTGGTATCACAGTTGTGAAATGTGAAGGTTCAGGGTATCACAGTTGTAAAATGTGAAGGTTTGTGGTATCACAGTTGTGAAATGTGAAGGTTCTAGGTATCACAGTTGTGAAATGTGAAGGTTCAAGGTATCACAGTTGTGAAATGAGAAGGTTCAGGGTATCACAGTTGTGATATGTGAAGGTTCTAGGTATCACAGTTGTGAAATGTGAAGGTTCAAGGTATCACAGTTGTGAAATGTGAAGGTTCTAGGTATCACAGTTGTGAAATGTGAAGGTTCTAGGTATCACAGTTGTGAAATGTGAAGGTTTGTGGTATCACAGTTGTGAAATGTGAAGGTTCAGGGTATCACAGTTGTGAAATGTGAAGGTTCAAGGTATCACAGTTGTATCACAGTTTTTATTTTTGGCATTCAGCATTTATCATCCAACTTCTATCACAAGAACAGGGTTACATCAAATTCCATGGCTTATAGAAGCTACTATCATGAAGCCTCTCTCGTGTTGGTAGTCATGTATGTTGGACATTATCTTGAAACACAGTGGTATTTATTGCTGCTGTATTTCAGGGTTTAGCAACCCAGTGGTCAAACCAGGTTAGAAGAGGTCCTCACCAACCTGTGATAGTCGTAAGATCTGAGGTGAGGTGAAGTTGGGTTTACGTCACGACCAAGATTATTGCACTTATATAGCAATGTGCATGCACGTGTGTGTGTGTGTTTGGCTGCTTGTACTAGTCCGGACTGATGCCGATTTATAGTGCCAACCCACTGAGATACCATGCTGCAGTTTAACATGAATACCCCATTCGGACACAGTATACTGACTCCGAGCCGACCAGTCCTTGTTTTAGCCACTTAATGCCAAGCGCCAGACAGGGTAACAACAAGTACCATCTTTTAACGTCTTTGAGTCTTTGATACAGAGTCCGCAAAAGAAACTAAACAGCCTGTTAACTTCGGACCAGACAAACCAGTGACTGAAATCACGGGCAATAATCCATGCATTTGGGGGAGGTGGTGAGGTGAAGTCGCGTCCTAGATTATTGCACTAATATAGTGATGTGCATGCACGTGCCTTGGGGTGGGAGGACCACAGACACACCAGTTATAGTGCCGGGGTGTTCATTCGGCTCATATGACATCCAGGTACTGAGTATCTGGAAACCGAACTCCACGTTGAGCTGGAAGCAGTACATGGGGAAATGACAGAGCTTTACGCAGTGGAGCAATATGACAGCTAGATGCCAAGAACGGGCTTCAAACCCTGCCCATGTGGGAACTGGAAGACACTTTAACCACTCAGCTACCTCACTAGGGAGATGGGGTCATTTGTGACCTGGGGCCATAGTTTTGTACCCACCTATTGCAGTGTACCTTCACTTGTTTGTACGTTTCCACAGCATTATTTTAACAAAAATGAACAAATCACATCAATTTGTGGTAGCAACAAAATTTGACCTGTCCTGGTACAGTAAATGCAGACATGGGGAGATATCTCAATAATGAACACTGGGTACAAAATGAAGGTACCAAGGTCAAGGACACCATCAGCATGCCCACACACCACTTTCAGCTGATGAAGGAATTGCATCGATTATCACCTATAGGACAGACTACATGAGGAACAGGCCAATTGATATTGGGGGGGGGTTGATAGCAAGAGAGAGAAAGAGTCTGGAAAGTTTTTGGATATTCACAGTTTTGCTCAAATAAACTGTTTCCTGGATATGTTGGATGCCATGTAAAACAACTGTGTTATGAAACCACATTGTCGTCTCCACCTTTCAGTGGATATGCCAAAAACATATTCTGTCTCTAACAAAAAAATCAGACACGCACCTTTCCCTCAAGAAAGCTAAATGGCTCGTCCCTTCTGGACATACTGCTGTGGACTGATTATAACAATTCTAGCTGCCTGAGAAACACAACCTGCCCTCAACAATCAGCAACACAAAGAATATATAGCATGGTAATGTTTGTACAACATTTACTACAGATTTCCATATACTGAACACTGAATCAATGATGTAACATCCTCCCAAGGCAAGGGGATTTATAAGTTTTTAAGTCCAGTTTCCACCCTTGCGACTAGGCTGGAGTTATGTTTTGACTGGACTAAGGAGTCTATGCATAGTCCAATCAAAATCATGTAACGAAATCGATATCTGGTTTGTAAACTGCCGTGCAGATTTTGGTCAATTGCAGGATTTGCAAAACATGTGTACCGCCATCTTGGTGCCAACAGATTAAGGTGCTCACGTGATTTGAAGAACTTCGGAAAGTAAGACCCTTTTAATTCCAATATAGATTTTGATATAGATATAGTCTTGACTTGGTCCGCCATTTTGTTTGAAGCAAATGCAAGTGATATATCTGATTGGCCAGGAGGGACATAGGAGGGACATAGGAGGGACATAACTCCTAATAGACACTGGTGCGCGCTACGATCGAGCCCAGAACTTTCCACATAGCTCAGCAAGGGTGAAAGCTGGACTTTTATAGTCTGCTGACTCCTTTGCCTCGGGAAGATGTGATCTAATGACATCCTCCGTAACTTTCCCTTGTCAATAGTTATTTGACTACCCTGTTGAAATTATTCCTCTGTTTCTTGGCATGCTATGACAAGACCCCTTACCTGCCACCATCGGGTTCCTGGTCGAAACAGCAGGAATCGGTGATATCTCGGACAGTTATCAATATGAGATGTATGTTGTATGTCGGTATTTCCAAACATGGAAGATTGGGATATTTGAAAACAAAGCAGTGATGATGCTCAACTTTCGACCCAGGCCCTGTTCCACAAAGAGATCCCAGTGCTATGACAGTCAGAAGTCTATGTTAAGCTAGGGGAGTTACGATCACCTTTGAGCTCCAGTCGCTTTGAGGAACAGGGCCCTGAAGTATTGTCAGTCATAATGTGTAGGAATATACATGTGTATGTACATAGGCATCAAAACAACATCTCTCTCACACAGTTTCATTAAAAGTCAACAAGATTTCAACATGCTGAACAGTCACAGCATACACAAAACATATTTTATATGTAAAAAAGAACAATACAAATTCATACAAAATTGGCAGACAATCTCAAGTCAAAAGACTAACTTTGAAATTACTCAAAGTCCAAACATTTCTGATACAAAACCTCCATGAAAAATCAAAATAGACTAGACCTAAACCTAGTTATAATGTCTTCATATCTTCTCCTTGACATAATTTAATCCTAAAGAAAGGTAAATATGTTTGTAAATGCAGTTCGTTGATATTACATTAATACATCAGATTTTAATCTGAAAAATTACATGACACTTTTTGTCTCTAAAACAACTCCATCTGTATACTACAGCTGACAGACAACAGTATCCTACAGCTGACGGACCACAGTATCCTACAGCTGATGGACCACAGTATCCTACAGCTGGCAGACAACAGTATCCTACAGCTGACAGACCACAGTATCCTACAGCTGACAGACCACAGTATCCTACAGCTGGCAGACTAACGACCAGAGTATCCTACATCTCACAGTATCCTACAGCTGACGGACCACAGTATCCTACAGCTAACAGACCACAATATCCTACAGCTGGCAGACAACAGTATCCTACAGCTGACAGACCACATTATCCTACAGCTGACGGACCACAGTATCCTACAGCTGGCAGACTAAAGACCAGAGTATCCTACAGCTAACAGACCACAGTATCCTACAACTGACAGACAACAGTATCCTACAGCTGACAGACCACAGTATCCTACATCTGACGGACCACAGTATCCTACAGCTAACAGACCACAATATCCTACAGCTGGCAGACAACAGTATCCTACAGCTGACAGACCACATTATCCTACAGCTGACGGACCACAGTATCCTACAGCTGGCAGACTAACGACCAGAGTATCCTACAGCTAACAGACCAGAGTATCCTACAGCTGACAGACAACAGTATCCTACAGCTGACAGACCACAGTATCCTACAGCTAACAGACCACAATATCCTACAGCTGGCAGACAACAGTATCCTACAGCTGACAGACCACATTATCCTACAGCTGACGGACCACAGTATCCTACATCTGACAGACCACAATATCCTACAGCTGACAGACCACAATATCCTACAGCTGGCAGACAACAGTATCCTACAGCTGACAGACCACATTATCCTACAGCTGACGGACCACAGTATCCTACAGCTGGCAGACCACAGTATCCTACAGCTGACAGACCACAATATCCTACAGCTGACACACTAACAACCACAGTATCCTACAGCTGGCAGACCACAGTACCCTGTAATGTGGCAACATTTCCGATGAGCTGACTGGTCTGTCTGCTGATGCATGTACTGTCAAAGTCTATTGAAGTCTGAAACCATTGTTTTCTGTTCCTCCAAATGCAAACGAAAAACATTCATCAACTGGAACACAAGTGTCAGGATGGGTCTCTTGGTGTAATTGTTCACAAGTGTCAGGATGGGTCTCTTGGTGTAATTGTTCACAAGTGTCAGGATGGGTCTCTGGGTGTAATTGTTCACAAGTATTGTGATGGGTCTCTTGGTGTAATTGTTCACAAGCATTGTGATGGGTCTCTTGGTGTAATTGTTCACAAGTATTGTGATGGGCCTCTTGGTGTAATTGTTCACAAGTATTGTGATGGGTCTCTTGGTGTAATTGTTCACAAGTATTGTGATGGGCCTCTTGGTGTAATTGTTCACAAGTATTGTGATGGGCCTCTTGGTGTAATTGTTCACAAGTATTGCGATGGGTCTCTTGGTGTAATTGTTCACAAGTATTGTGATGGGCCTCTTGGTGTAATTGTTCACAAGTATTGTGATGGGCCTCTTGGTGTAATTGTTCAAAAGTATTGTGAAGGGTCTCTTGGTGTAATTGTTCACAAGTATTGTGATGGGTCTCTTGGTGTAATTGTTCAAAAGTATTGTGATGGGCCTCTTGGTGTAATTGTTCAAAAGTATTGTGATGGGCCTCTTGGTGTAATTGTTCAAAAGTATTGCGATGGGCCTCTTGGTGTAATTGTTCAAAAGTATTGGTGATGGGTCTCTTGGTGTAATTGTTCAAAAGTATTGTGATGGGTCTCTTGGTGTAATTGTTCAAAAGTATTGTGATGGGCCTCTTGGTGTAATTGTTCAAAAGTATTGTGATGGGCCTCTTGGTGTAATTGTTCAAAAGTATTGTGATGGGCCTCTTGGTGTAATTGTTCAAAAGTATTGTGATGGGCCTCTTGGTGTAATTGTTCAAAAGTATTGCGATGGGCCTCTTGGTGTAATTGTTCAAAAGTATTGTGATGGGTCTCTTGGTGTAATTGTTCAAAAGTATTGAGATGGGTCTCTTGGTGTAATTGTTCAAAAGTATTGTGATGGGCCTCTTGGTGTAATTGTTCAAAAGTATTGCGATGGGCCTCTTGGTGTAATTGTTCAAAAGTATTGTGATGGGTCTCTTGGTGTAGTTGTTCAAAAGTATTTTGATGGGTCTCTTGGTGTAATTGTTCAAAAGTATTGTGATGTGTCTCTTGGTGTAATTGTTCAAAAGTATTGTGATGGGCCTCTTGGTGTAATTGTTCAAAAGTATTGTGATGGGCCTCTTGGTGTAATTGTTCAAAAGTATTGTGATGGGCCTCTTGGTGTAATTGTTCAAAAGTATTGTGATGGGCCTCTTGGTGTAATTGTTCAAAAGTATTGCGATGGGCCTCTTGGTGTAATTGTTCAAAAGTATTGTGATGGGTCTCTTGGTGTAATTGTTCAAAAGTATTGTGATGGGTCTCTTGGTGTAATTGTTCAAAAGTATTGTGATGGGCCTCTTGGTGTAATTGTTCAAAAGTATTGTGATGGGCCTCTTGGTGTAATTGTTCAAAAGTATTGCGATGGGCCTCTTGGTGTAATTGTTCAAAAGTATTGTGATGGGTCTCTTGGTGTAGTTGTTCAAAAGTATTTTGATGGGTCTCTTGGTGTAATTGTTCAAAAGTATTGCGATGGGTCTCTTGGTGTAATTGTTCAAAAGTATTGCAATGGGTCTCTTGGTGTAATTGTTCAAAAGTATTGCGATGGGCCTCTTGGTGTAATTGTTCACAAGTATTGTGATGGGCCTCTTGGTGTAGTTGTTCAAAAGTATTTTGATGGGTCTCTTGGTGTAATTGTTCACAGTTAATGATGGCCAGCATGACAATCATGTTTTTATTGTATTCATAAGTAGGAATGCAGTTGAAATGTTAATGTAATTATATAATACTGAAAGTGGCAATCGCTCCACACCCCACCAATGTAGAATATCTCTCTCAAATCATACATTTCTTCATGAATTATTTACACATTATCTTATCAAAATCCCCATCATAAATTACAAAATAATGAGATTTTAGCATTTGGGAACTGTATCATGCAACAAAACCTCAGATATCACATGGTCTAGACTGCTGATTGTATGGCTTAGCACCAACATCCATGCATGACTTAGCAACACCCCTTCTTTTCTGGTTCAAGGAACTTGTTCCGCTTGCCAAGTAGTTTCATCAGCTCCTTGCTCATGTAGTATGGCTTCTCGGCGCTGCCATCATGTTTCTCCAGGTCCTCCACTGTAACAGAGGCAGAGAGTGAGTTAGGCTTGATGCCATCATAAGCAGAATTTATTTCATTTCGCCGAGTGTCAATGAGTGAGTGAGTGAGTGAGTGAGTTTGGTTTAATGCTACTTTGAACAGTATTTCAGCCATTCGTGTCCAACTCGTCTTATTCCGGGACAAGCCGAATAGCGACTCGTGCCCCTCTCATGGCCATTTTTGCAACCTGGTTGCGTCTTAGCGCAAACGGGCATAGCTAAAACATTTGTCAACTCGTCGCGTAATGGTTCACATATATTTCCCCATATATTATATATATTTCAGATGCAATTTTAAAGCACATCGGCACATGCGGAATTATACAGTATGATTGAGCACATTTAACTATGTCTTGGGTATATTTTTAGATGCAAGACACAAGTAAAATCAAAAATTATTTCTGAGGGATTCTTTGACGAAGAACTTGAAATCATGCGCGCATTGTGATTGATTTGTCGTATTTTCACACATAACATTCATCGATAGGGGGGACGAGTCTTCTTGCCGGTTACGGAAAGGGGCGAGTGGTGACGAAGGTACTTCAGCCACACCTCACCATGTCAGCTTGATGTGGGAGAAAGCGGATGTAGGTGAGGTGAGGTGAGGTGAGGTGAGGTGGAATTGGGTTTAACGTTGCGTCCAAGATAATTGCACTTACATAGCGACGTGCATGTGTGTGTGTGTGTGTGTGTGTGTGTGTGGCTGCTTGTACTAGTCCGGACTGATGCCGATATATAGTGCTAGCTCACTGAGATACCATGCCGCAGTTTAACACGGATACCCCACTCAGACACAGTATACTGACTCCGAGCCGACCAGTCCTTGTTTTAGCCACCTAATGCCGAGCGCCAGACAGGATAACAACAAGTACCATCTTTTAACATCTTTTGGTATGACGCGGTCGGGGATTGAACCCGGAACCTTCCGCTCCCCGGGCGGATGCTCTACCACTAGACCACGGAGGCAGTCTCGAACATAGGTCGTAGATGTGTTCTCTGGCCTGGTGCTGACAAACCTCGTATTATCATAAGGGTAAGTCTGGGATTCAAACTCCTCATAGTGGGATTCTGGATCATTGGTTGTAAACAGTACTACTGTATGACTGCGGAGGTATTGATGCAAGATTAATGGCCAATGTTTGTTTGTTGTTTAACGCTGCACTCAGCAATATTCCAGCTGTATGAAGGCAGTTTGTAGATAATCAAGACAACCCAGTGATTGACATCATGATCCAGGCAATTGGGATACGATGACATGCATCTTGCAAGTCAGCAAGCCTGACCACCCGATGCCGTTAGTCGCCTCTTATGACAAGCATAGGGTGCTGAAGACCTTTTCTACCCCGGATCTTCACAGGTGGGCAAATGTCAGTAAAACATAAAATAAAAATAATGAAAATACACCAGTTTCAAATGGGCAAGTGAGCGAATGTTGTTTACAACTGCAAATATACCAGCAATATTCCAGCAACATTCTAGCCATATTTCAGCACTATTTTAACAGCACTTACACTAGGATCTTTGAGTGAATAGGGGCTTGGTGGGGTTCAAAGATTTAAATAGGGAACGATCAACCAATCCCCATCTCAGAACAAGCCTGATGTGATGTGATGCTATGTGATGCTATGTGGGACATATTGTTCCCCGACTCCCTGGGGAGTGATGCTATGTGGAGACATATTGTTCCCCACTCCCTGGGGAGTGATGCTATGGGAGACATATCGTTCCCCTACTCCCTGGGGAGTGATGCTGTGTGGAGACATATTGTTCCCCTACTCCCTGGGGAGTGATGCTGTGTGGAGACATATTGTTCCCCCACTCCCTGGGGAGTGATGCTGTGTGGAGACATATTGTTCCCCTACTCCCTGGGGAGTGATGCTGTGTGGAGACATATTGTTCCCCAACTCCCTGGGGAGTGATGCTATGTGGGACATATTGTTCCCCCACTCCCTGGGGAGTGATGCTGTGTGGAGACATATTGTTCCCCCACTCCCTGGGGAGTGATGCTATGTGAGACATATCGTTCCCCCACTCCCTGGGGAGTGATGCTGTGTGGAGACATATTGTTCCCTGACACCCTAGGGAGTGATGCTATGTGGAGACATATCGTTCCCCGACTCCCTGGGGAGTGATGCTATGTGAGACATATCGTTCCCCTACTCCCTGGGGAGTGATGCTATGTGAGACATATTGTTCCCCCACTCCCTGGGGAGTGATGCTGTGTGGAGACATATAGTTCCCTGACACCCTAGGGAGTGATGCTATTTGGAGACATATTGTTCCCCGACTCCCTTGGGAATGATGCTGTACTCACAGAAGGAGAGGTAGATGGTGGTGACGGCCATGCTGTAGACGCTGAAGAAGCAGCAGGCAACCAGGTAAGCTGCCACGGTCAGGATCTGTAAAGTAAACACTTGTTGATTGGCTTCATCATGTTGTGTGAATATCATAACATTGCATGGTAGTCCTGTACAAATGATCATCCAGTAACACTTCATGTTATTCTCCTCGAAAATTTGTTAATTTCTAATCACACTGCAACGTCACGCTGAAGACCCGGGTTTCGATTCCCAACATGGGTACATGTGTGAACCTCAATTCTAGTCTCCCTATACCGTGATATTGCTGGAATATTGCTAAAAGCGACGTACTCAATCACTCACTAATTACATTGCATGATATTTTTGTAGGATTTTCAAGAAATATCATAACAAATAAAATAAAGTGAACATCAACCTTCTGATATGTAAAAATGTAAAAATGTAAAAATCTTTAGAAATTTAGCCTGACCATGTACGGACTTTGTAAATGAAATTTGGAACTAACATTCAAAATGTGAGGATTTACAGAAGTTGATTGGAATATTTATGTTAAGTGAGTGAGTTGGGTTTAACCCCGCTTTAAACACTATTCCAGTTATATCAAGGCATGTCAGCTTAATGTGGGAGGAAAGCCCCAAGTGATGCAGGTCTCAGATGTTTACCACTTCGGTGAAACCCACGAGCACAGGTATGGTGCTGACAAACTTAGAAACATAATTGGGGCAAGCCGGGATTCGAACCCACAATCATATGTTTCTGGCGTGCACAAGGAACGTAACTCTGCACAGCGAATCACGGCGCCTTAGACGACTGGGACACCTAGGCTCCCTTATGTTAAGAGTTCCCTCCCTTGCTCATCAGTTCAGGAGGCTGATGAGCGAATATTTTACATTGAAGTGAGTGAGTGAGTATGGTTTTACGCCGCTTTTTGCAATATTCCAGCAATATCACGGCGGGGGACACCAGAAATGGGCTTCACACATTGTACCCATGTAACCACTAGGCTACCCGACCGCCCCCTTTTAAATTGAAAATCAGTAAGTATAGCAGTGTTAAGCTTGCGGTGGAGCCAACAAGAACGTGTATGTTAGTGTGGTAAGTGGTGCCTCAAATAGTATTCCAGTCATATCACTGTGACTCATCTTGAAGTGGGAGGAAAACCCGAAGTGATGCAGGTCCTTGACGTTTACCATTTTGGTGAGCATGGGTATGATGCGGACAACCCTAACAACATAATCAGAGCAAATATAGGATTTGAAGCCTTTGTCATAGGTTCCTGGTATGTCTAAGGGAGACAACTCTGCAGCACTGTGCATGAGACGCCTGGGCCGCCAGTGACAAGTGTACTCACAATGACTGGAGTTAGGTAGTAGTTGAGTGTAGGAACGTAGTTGGTGAAGAACGGCACCTTGCCCTGGAACCAGAAGAACGCCCCTGCACCTGCAACACAAGGGAGTGAGTCGCTGTAAGGCTGTTGGTTTCAGTTGGAGTCTGAGGATTTACCTGTGTCTATGCATTTCCAGGAACTCACAGATACCATTGTTGGAGGTCCCTGGCAGACTTGACTTCCAGGAATTGTAGATTTACTGATGCAGTCATGACTTCCAGGAATACTAGATTTACTGATGCAGTCATGACTTCCAGGAATTGTAGATTTACTGATGCAGTCATGACTTCCAGGAATTGTAGATTTACTGATGCAGTCATGACTTCCAGGAATTGTAGATTTACTGATGCAGTCATGTTCTACTGGATCATGAATGTTTTGGAAGATAATTTTATGAAATTGTGTGCTCAGTCTTCACAAAAAAAAATTCATGATCACAAACTTTTTAGTTCAGTATGAAATTACACATGCTCAAGATTATTGTAGTCAGAATTTCAACGCTAGATTCAAGATAACCAACCAATCTCACTCTGGACTCATGACTCATGTGTGTCTTCATGACCAGCAGAGAAATGGTAATATGAAACAAAGTAAGCTACAATTTCGACAGCTTCTAAACAGTCATTCATTTCTTCATCCCCATGGATGCTCTATGTAAATTATTTACATCCATTCTTAATGTGTATGTCTGTGTACGGATGCAGTAATTTGCATCTGATGAAGCCTGACTTGAGCTGCGTCACAGCATCTTGTTCAGGTGTTTCTGGGAGGACATTAGGGCTGGGATGAGTCCAAATTTACTACCCGGGTACCCAACCTCCTATTACCGACCCTACCCGGGTACCCAACCCCCTATTACCGACCCTACCCGGGTACCCAACCCCCTATTACCGACCCTACCCAGGTACCCAACCCCCTATTACCTGACCCTACATGCTTACCCAACCCCCTATTACCTGACCCTACACGCGTACCCAACCCCCTATTACCGACCCTACCCAGGTACCCAACCCCCTATTACCTGACCCTACACGCGTACCCAACCCCCTATTACCTGACCCTACCCGGGTACCCAACCCCCTATTACCAACCCTACCTGGGTACCCAACCCCCTATTACCGACCCTACCCAGGTACCCAACCCCCTATTACCTGACCCTACATGCGTACCCAACCCCCTATTACCTGACCCTACACGCGTACCCAACCCCCTATTACCTGACCCTACACGCGTACTCAACCCCCTATTACCGACCCTACCCAGGTACCCAACCCCCTATTACCTGACCCTACACGCGTACCCAACCCCCTATTACCGACCCTACCCAGGTACCCAACCCCCTATTACCTGACCCTACCCAGGTACCCAAACCCCTATTACCCGACCCTACCCAGGTACCCAACCCCCTATTACCGACCCTACCCAGGTACCCAACCCCCTATTACCTGACCCTACATGGGTACCCAACCCCCTATTATCTGACCCTACACGCGTACCCAACCCCCTATTACCGACCCTACCCAGGTACCCAACCCCCTATTACTGACCCTACCCGGGTACCCAACCCCCTATTACCGACCCTACCCAGGTACCCAACCCCCTATTACTGACCCTACCCAGGTACCCAACCCCCTATTACCGACCCTACCCGGGTACCCAACCCCCTATTACCTGACCATACCTGGGTACCCAACCCCCTATTACCTGACCCTACACGCGTTCCCAACCCCCTATTACCGACCCTACCCAGGTACCCAACCCCCTATTACTGACCCTACCCGGGTACCCAACCCCCTATTACCGACCCTACCCAGGTACCCAACCCCCTATTACTGACCCTACCTGGGTACCCACTGTGGGTCTCAAGAGATAGGTACAAAATGTCCGCTTAGGAAACGCTTGACTGTACTCCTGTCAAAATGTATTGAGATACAGGTATAAAATGATCTGTTCAGGCTTACACTGAAGTTGACTGAAGTTTAATCTTTATGCAAACATATAAAGTCAGAAGGAATGTGTGCATAGTCGGAAAGAAATGTGAACATTTGTGACTTATAGTGTAACCATAGAGTTCTTGATAATTTTTGCCATTAAACAATATAATCAAATGACTAACTACGGGTCCGGGTAGTCCTGTGGGTACCCGGGTCCAACTCAGTACCCACCCGACCCAGGTACCCCGTCCCAGCCCTACAGAATACCCCACATGATGCATGTGTTACAGGTTTACTGCTCTGGTGAGAGACACAAGCACATGGGGTGGGAGTGGGGAGTACATTTAAATTTCTCAAAAGTCGGGGGTCGGGTGCTGCTATAGTATTTTGTCTTCATTTCACAGGCCTGTGTGCATTTGTGACGTTCAGTAGGGGTTGGTTTGAAGCTGATGAACACCCTGCCCTGAGTGATCTCCAAATGAATCCTCTGTCAACTCAGCAGGAGTGGGTAGGACATGACGAGGGGTACGGGTTTGGCATCCACCCAGAGGTCTGACCACGTCCATTGCGCTGACAAGGAACCATTCTGGGGCCTGACCACACCCACTGAAAACTCGTGTGACCACTCAGGGGCCTGGCCACACCCTATACAGTCATGTGACCGCTCAGGGGCCTGGCCACACCCACTACAGTCATGTGACCACTCAGGGGCCTGGCCACACCCACTACAGTCATGTGACCACTCAGGGGCCTGGCCACACCCACTACAGTCATGTGACCACTCAGGGGCCTGGCCACACCCACTACAGTCATGTGACCACTCAGGGGCCTGGCCACACCCACTACAGTCATGTGACCACTCAGGGGCCTGGCCACACCCACTACAGTCATGTGACCACTCAAGGGCCTGGCCGCACCCACTACAGTCATGTGACCACTCAAGGGTCATGTGATGGATGCCTGGTTGGAGTACAACATGAATGCAAGTAAATGAAATTGTGTTACTTACAGACCGCAGCTGTGACCACCAGCTTGCTGAGAAACAGCACAAAATCTGTCATCTTGTCAACAACAACTGTCCTGAAAAACAACAACAGAATTACACAAACTTATTTGTTTTTCCAACATCTGGTCATCTACCATCGGACGAGTCGGTTCTTTTAAGTGCACAGGGTGTATGTACTGTACACTAGGGGTAGTGACAGCACTGTAAAGACATGTCAACATTGTTGGTCCCAAGGCTGACCACCAGGTCACTGGCGGGATACGATCTCAGCCCCTGGCACTTATGAGTGCTGGCTCACTCTGCCCCCCATAGTGACCGAGTTACACGTTAAATCCTGCTAGTTGATTTACTTATTTCCCAGCTGAGCTGGCCACAAACTATATCAATAACTAGATTTTCATCAAAGTTTTTAAAATTGTGGGGGGCATTTTAATTCATGCATCATATTTGTTCTAAACAAAGTGTACAAAGAATGGGTGAACATTAATGTGTTTGTATTTGATAGCGCTACGTACATGTGTCATGCATGTGGTGTTTCTCGTCAAGGAGCAAGTCAACACATAACCATTTGTCTTGTAGGGAGATGATGTGAGTTCAGGAGTGTGGCAGTGAGGCACTCTGGGATGAAACTCTAATAAATAATTTGTATCGGCTTTACAATTGTCATTATTTTTCTGAGTGAGGAAAGTAAATATATATCCACACGCATTCCTCTGTAGTTTAAATGTCATAAATATTAACACCCTAGTGACATTTTATACAAATCATTGATTGACCTCATGAGCATCGATCCACACTATTGGGATACAATGACATGCAATCAACCAAGTCACCGAGTCTGACAACTCGATCCATTTAGTCCCCTCGTACGACAAGGTTGATGGAGACCTATTAACTTCGCCAGAATACCCACAGGACTATTTCAGAAGGGAAAAGAACTAATTTTCCCTTTAAAGGAAAGATACTGTCGCTAGGCGACTTCAGAGCTAGTGATTTACCTGACAATATTTCTCATGATGAGGAAGAATGCATCCTTGGCTGATACACAAAAGTTTTTGCCGTACACTGCAACCTGATGACAAGAGAAGGTTTTTTAATACAGTGTAATTCAAAGTCTACAACATAATATTGGAAGAAATGTCCCAGCAGAATTGTTATAAGCATTATTCCAAAATGAAATTATGCTTGTTTTAGATATAGACAACTCAGTATATTTAGATGTACCACCATGCTCAGCTTCTAGTATATTCTCAACAAAATAAGTAAGGGATCATGAATATTTTTGGGGATTTTTTTGTTAGTGAAGACACAATTTCATAAAAAATAGGGGAGGTCGGGTAGCCTAGTGGTTAAAGCGTTCGCTCGTCACGCCGAAGACCCGGGTTCGAATCCCGACATGGGTACAATGTGTGAAGCCCATTTCTGGTGTCCCCCGCCGTGATATTGCTGGAATATTGCTAAAAGTGGCGTAAAACCATACTCACTCACTCATAAAAAATATCCCCAAAAATATTTATGATCACAAACTTTTTTGCTCAGTGTATATGTAAAACAATTAAAAAAATTGCAAACTACACCTAATTTCAAAATCCACATGAAGCAGCAAAATAAATAAAAAACAGTAGGAATTTCATCATTTGATTTTTATAACAGATTATGAAATTAGTGAAACAATAACAGTTGTATCTAGGAGAAAAAAACATATTTGACTTCATGGGCCAAAGAGGACAAAGTTGAATCTTACCAAGATGTACGCATTCTTGTTGAGAAACTTCATGAACTTTTCAAGACACCAGAAACAACACTTGAGACAACTGAAATAAAGAAACAACATAGGACTGAGATGTATTCGGAAAGCTTCAGCATTTGGAACCTGAAACAAATTACCCGATTTTACATAAAACATATCTAAAGGATTCTTACAGGTCTTTCAGTCTCAACAAAACACTTTTCACACCTCAAACATTTGTCAAGTGTAGCCTTCAATAATGTCTACATCATCTCCTTCTCAAATAGTGAGGGGCGGTCGGATAGCCTGGTGGTTAAAGCATTCGCTTGTTACTCCGAAGACCCTGGTTCGATTCCTGACATGGGTACAATGTGAGAGGCCCATTTTTGGTCTCCCCCTCTGTGATATTGCTGGAACATTGCTAAAAGCGGCGTAAAACCATACTCATTCATTCATTTAGTGGTATACGACAGGGCTGAGACGGGTGACTCGGGTACTCGGGTCGCCCAGGTTCTGAGTAGGACCTGGGTACCCACAGGACTTCCCGGACCCCAGGTTAATCACGTGAACTATTGTTTAATGACATTGGTTATACTAAAAGTCGCTAATGTTCGCAATTCTTTCTGACGATGCACACATTCCTTGACTTATATATGTTTGAGTAAGGATAAAGCTTCAGTCAACTTCAGTGCACACCTGATCTGATCTATTGATTCATGTATTTAAATAGTTTTTGCAAGGGCTGCGGTAAACAATTCCCAATCAGACATTTTGTTCCCAACTCTGGAGACCTTTAGTAGGTACACGGGTCAGGTAATAGGGGGTCAGGTACCTGGGTAGTAAAATTGGACTCGTCCAGCCCTAGTATACGATCATGGAGCCCCAATTGTTGCTCGCAACTATATTTATTATCAGTAAACTGTCAGGTCTTAGGTACGTATACTCACCGTAGGAAGAACCGGGCAACTGCATTCTCAGATCCCTTGAGTTTGGAGTCGAGATATTCCAGGCCAATCCTAATGAACTGGATGATTGCAATGATAAGTGACCCAAAGGCTAGAGACCCAATGTGGTATCTGGAAGGGAAATACATTTACTTGACACAAGTAACAAACCAATGTTAAAACCAGTGACTAATGCATCAACTGTGTCTGTCTCTATTCCTTGAGGGTTGACAGTATAGTATTGGTGAGGTGAAGTGGGTTTGTTTTAGCTTGTACTAGTCCGGACTGATGCCGATTAATAGTGCTAGCTAACATGAATATCCCACTCAGCATACTGACCCTGAGCTGACCAGTCCTTGGTTAAGCCCCTTAATGCAGAACGCTAGACAGGGTAAGAACAAGTACAATCTTTTAAGGTATTTTGGTATGACACAGCTGGGAATTAAACCCCGGACCTAATATGAGTTGGTGAGTGGGTGGGTGGGTGAGAGAGAGAGAGAGAGAGAGAGAGAGAGAGAGAGAGAGAGAGAGAGAGAGAGTGAGAGTGAGTGAGTGAGTGAGTGAGTGAGTGAGTGAGTGAGTTTAGCAATATCAGCGTGGGGGACACCAGAAATGGGCTTCACACATTGTACCCATGTCGGGAATCGAACCTGGGTATTTGGCATCACGAGCGAACGCTTTAACCACCAGGCCACCTGACCGACCCTAGGCATTTAGAAATTGGAAGAACATGAATACATCCTATTGTATAACAACGTTTGAGTGCTTCTTCATCAAGTGAATGAAGATGAAAGAAGTAGCCCTGAAATGTCGGTACAAAAAAAGTGTCATGTATCCAACCTACCTGAGAGTGCGTCCTAACGAGCCGATGACGGGGAAGGCAGGTATGTCATCAGGCTTGGTGTAAGCCCAGTAGTAGGAGGCGAATGCACCAGCAAGAACCATCTGCCCCAGGGCGATGATGAAGTTGAGAACCCACAGGAACATGAACAATAGGTACACCTGCATGACGATCGTGTACCTGGCAGAACATGAACAATAGGTACACCTGCATGACGATCCTGTACCTGGCAGAACATGAACAATAGGTACACCTGCATGACAATCGTGTACCTGGCAGAACATGAACAATAGGTACACCTGCATGACAATCGTGTACCTGGCAGAACATGAACAATAGGTACACCTGCATGACGATCCTGTACCTGGCAAGATGCATGGAAGTTGATCAGACAGTTAAACACCTTCCTCAGTCCACGTAACAAAAGTCCTGTCTTGTCTACACAAGGAACAAGATGGCTGAAATTGTTCTAAGTATGTTTAAACAGTGTTCGAAATACCTGCCTGCCCGACCGTCTGAGACGGGTTGATTTCAACTCGGGCTGCCAGATTTTCAAATCCCCCTGCCCGACGGTCAGGTTATATTTCATATGTGAAAATATTCTAAATATTTCCCAATGATAAGCATTAATTGACATGTAAAGATGAATGATGAAATGTAACCAAAAAGAAACCCCGTTAGCTTATCCTGAGAAACATATGATTATAGTGGGCAGGCAGGTTTTAGTCAGGGCTGGCAAGTATTTCAGCTAGCCAGTCCTGTGGTCTGGCTGAAATTTTGGGGAGTTTCATACCCTGGTTTAAACCTGTGTCTGATATATCTCTAAATCTGATATATACTACCAAAAAAAGTAAAAGAATACATGATTCTTTCATACCAAAGACCCAGGTATGATCCTTCATACCAGAGAGACGGGTATGATCTTTCATACCAGAGACACGGGTATGATCTTTCATACCAGAGACACGGGTAGGATCTTTCATACCAGAGACACAGGTAGGATCTTTCATACCAGAGACACGGTTTGATCTTTCATACCAGAGACACGGGTATGATCTTTCATACCAGAGAGACGGGTGTGATCTTTCATACCAGAGACACGGGTATGATCTTTCATACCAGAGAGACGGGTGTGATCTTTCATACCAGAGACACAGGTATGATCTTTCATACCAGAGAGACGGGTGTGATCTTTCATACCAGAGACACAGGTATGATCTTTCATACCAGAGACACGGTTTGATCTTTCATACCAGAGACACGGTTTGATCTTTCATACCAGAGACACGGTATGATCCTTCATACCAGAGACACCGATTTGATCTTTCATACCACATTAGTCGTAATCATCAAAGAATCAGGTGTTCCTTTCCTTCTTTTGAGTAGTATATTGCTTACGGGACTAATCATTTGTCATTCCAGTCCCTCGTATTTCTGTCCAACGTTTCATTTTCTGCTTCAAGACAAACATGTTCTTTCTTTGGACACAAATGTATTTTTTTCATAAAATCCAGTAAAATGTGTTTTTATCAAAAACATAATTTTCCATGATTTCCCGATTTGTCAAAATACAAACAAAGCCCCCATCTCTAGTATTTATTTCCATTTCTGTGTTTGTCTGCCTCCCAGACTCCAAAGAATAAATACAAGAAAAGAATCCAACTTCAGTCTAGAATGATGTAGCTAGTCTAGATTGCCTCAGCTCCAGGCCTGAAACTGAGCATTGTTCCTGGCATTGTCCTCCATTTGTATTTTACTTTTTATTTTGTTGATATATATTTTTAAATCAACTTTATTTCTGGGACTAAATCTGAGTCATACTTACTCGTCTCCCCCGTACTTGACGAACTCACACACTGATCCTGCAGCAGAGCTCTGTAACAGTGAAATAGCATCCATTGACCAGTTGCCAATCTTACACCTCAAGAGTCCAGTAGGTTACATATTATACCATCTGTATGATAACAATTCTCCCAGCATCTACAGCACATTTTTGTTGTTGTTGTTTAAAGCCGCACTCAGCAGTATTCCAGCTATATGACAGCAGTCTGTAAATAATCGAGTCTGGACCAGACAATCATGAAGCAAGCGTTGCCATGGTAACAGCTACATACACTTGGGGTGCAGGGTATTCTCTGTAGGTAGTAGTTGACGCCATCTGTGGAGGTGTTGGTGGAGTTGCTGTAGTAGTTGGCAGCGCCCATGGAGGCAACAAAGCTGACAGAGTTAAGGAACATGGCGAAGCAAAGATGAATTTCGGGTAAATCATTCACTGGTACACCAAACCAGTACACTACACATCACACAATACCTGGGATTCCAGTTTACAGTTGGTCCCCACCCAGTCCTCGAAATAGGTGCCGGCCCGTAGCCCCGTGGCAGGTGGATCTTGTATCGGGCACATAGTTTCAAATTTGCATGGGTTCTTATCACCAGCTGTGAATTTACGCGTCTATTTATTTGTCATGATCAGCCGCAGTTTTTTAATTGCGGGTCTGAAGAGTTTAGTCAGGGCCTACAGTTTCTAAAGTCTGTGGGTCCTGATGGCAGCCTTCCAATTTATTTTGTTTCAAATACTTTCCCCGGTAAAACTCAACTAATTGGCGATGGGGGTGAGGGTCGGTATTAAACTTGGAACCAATGGAAAAGCTGGTTTGCTTGGTCAAGACTTGATTACTTTCAAGCTGGTGTAATACAATGATTCATTTGACAAGTACAGCTAGGTGAGGACTCGTTTTACCCGGGGATCTCTTCCCAAGAAGAATATAATGATAAACAGACATTATCAGCCAACTGTGTTTCCAATCGCAGATATCATATGTTAGGAATACACACTGTACTGTGTGACCTTTTGTCAGGAATTCATATTTTTTATTCCTAAAATACGTTATTTATGATACACAAGAGATACTCTCTTTCTCATATAATGTCATTATCAAAGTAATCAATGCTGACGACATATTTTACTCAATGTAGTAACTTTAGAAGCTGCGTATGAATACAATGTTTGAGTGAAACGCCCAATTAATCATATAGTGCCAAATGTCATGCAGCATTGTTTGTCTTGAGTTTGTTTAACGCCACACTCAGCAATAATCCAGCTATATGATGGCAGTCTATAATAATCGAGTCTTGACCGGACAATCCCTTGATTGACATAATGAGCATCGATCCACTCAATTGGGATACGATGACATTCATCAACCAAGTAAGCGAGCCTGACCACCCGATCCCAATCTTATGACAAGCATGGGCTGCTGAATACCTATCTTAAACCCGGATCTTCATGGGGATGTTTGTCTGGAGAAACACCCACACTTCAGGACACATGCTAATCAACAAACAAACAAACAAACATAATGAGATCATTAATCAATAGCGTATTGGTCAAGCAGAAAAAGCATAAATATATGGAGCTTAAAACTAGATCCTGCTAGGCCACCTTGTTTTCATATTTAGTGGATTGTGACACCAAAGTTTTAGGATCAGATTATTGCATCGACTGTCCATGATTTGATGAAAAGTATAAGAAAATGAAGTTGTTGCTGCTGCATGAAGGATACACTGCACTGACGGCCCAGTAGCCGATGAAGGCGATCTCCAGGATCCAGGGAATGATGGGCCAGAACAGGGTGGAGAACATGCTGCCGATGGCCCTGAAACATGTAACAACACCAGTCTGTAACATCATCATGTGTAACACAACCGACCTTGAACCTGGCCCCACTTACAGCTGTGATGTCCTTATCATGACATACTGCTCAAGGCTGTGTGAACCTCAACTCACTCACTACCTCACAAACCCACACACACCCAGCCACTCACCCACTGAGGTCCAGCCACTCATCCACTGAGGTCCATCAAGCTACCCACTGAGGTCCACCCAACCATCCACTGAGATCACCCACTCACTGCCATCACCCACCCACTGCCATCACCCACTCACTGCGATCACCCACCCACTGCCATCACCCACTCACTGCCATCACCCACCCACTGCCATCACCCACCCACTGCCATCACCCACCCACTGCCATCACCACCCACTGCCATCACCCACTGCCATCACCCACTCACTGCCATCACCCACTCACTGCCATCACCCACACACTGCCATCACCCACACACTGCCATCACCCACTCACTGCAATCACCCACTCACTGCCATCACCACATACTGCCATCACCCACCCACTGCCATCACCACCCACTGCCATCACCCACCCACTGCCATCACCCACCCACTGCCATCACCAACCCACTGCGATCACCCACTCACTGCCATCACCCACTCACTGCCATCACCCACTCACTGCCATCACCACCCACTGCCATCACCACCCACTGCCATCACCCACTCACTGCCATCACCCACTCACTGCCATCACCCACTCACTGCCATCACCACCCACTGCCATCACCCACTCACTGCCATCACCCACTCACTGCCATCACCCACTCACTGCCATCACCCACTCACAGCCATCACCCACTCACTGCCATCACCCACTCACTGCCATCACCACCCACTGCGATCACCCACTCACTGCCATCACCCACTCACTGCCATCACCCACTCACTGCCATCACCACCCACTGCCATCACCACCCACTGCCATCACCCACTCACTGCCATCACCCACTCACTGCCATCACCCACCCACTGCCATCACCCACCCACTGCCATCACCCACCCACTGCCATCACCCACCCACTGCCATCACCAACCCACTGCCATCACCCACTGCCATCACCACCCACTGCCATCACCCACCCACTGCCATCACCCACCCACTGCCATCACCCACTCACTGCCATCACCACCCACTGCGATCACCCACCCACTGCCAACACCCACCCACTGCCATCACCCACCCACTGCCATCACCCACCCACTGCCATCACCACCCACTGCCATCACCACCCACTGCCATCACCACCCACTGCCATCACCCACCGACTGCCATCACCACCCACTGCCATCACCCACTCACTGCCATCACCACCCACTGCCATCACCACCCACTCACTGCCATCACCACCCACTGCCATCACCCACCCACTGCCATCACCCACTGCCATCACCCACCCACTGCCATCACCACCCACTGCCATCACCCACCCACTGCCATCACCCACCCACTGCCATCACCCACCCACTGCCATCACCACCCACTGCCATCACCCACTGCCATCACCCACCCACTGCCATCACCCACCCACTGCCATCACCCACCCACTGCCATCACCACTCACTGCCATCACCCACCCACTGCCATCACCCACCCACTGCCATCACCACTCACTGCCATCACCCACCCACTGCCATCACCCACCCACTGCCATCACCCACCCACTGCCATCACCCACTGCCATCACCACCCACTGCCATCACCACCCACTGCCATCACCACCCACTGCCATCACCACTCACTGCCATCACCACCCACTGCCATCACCACCCACTGCCATCACCCACCCACTGCCATCACCACCCACTGCCATCACCCACCCACTGCCATCACCCACCCACTGCCATCACCCACTGCCATCACCACCCACTGCCATCACCACCCACTGCCATCACCCACCCACTGCCATCACCCACCCACTGCCATCACCCACCCACTGCCATCACCACCCACTGCCATCACCCACTGCCATCACCACCCACTGCCATCACCACCCACTGCCATCACCACCCACTGCCATCACCACCCACTGCCATCACCCACCCACTGCCATCACCCACCCACTGCCATCACCACCCACTGCCATCACCATCCACTGCCATCACCACCCACTGCCATCACCCACCCACTGCCATCACCACCCACTGCCATCTCCCACTCACTGCCATCACCACCCACTGCCATCACCCACCCACTGCCATCACCCACTCACTGCCATCACCCACTCACTGCCATCACCCACCCACTGCCATCACCACCCACTGCCATCACCACCCACTGCCATCACCACCCACTGCCATCACCACCCACTGCCATCACCACCCACTGCCATCACCACCGACTGCCATCACCACCCACTGTCATCACCCACTCACTGCCATCACCCACTCACTGCCATCACCCACTCACTGCCATCACCACCCACTGCGATCACCCACCCACTGCCATCACCCATCCACTGCCATCACCACCCACTGCCATCACCCACCCACTGCCATCACCCACCCACTGCCATCACCCACTCACTGCCATCACCCACCCACTGCCATCACCACCCACTGCCATCACCCACTGCCATCACCCACCCACTGCCATCACCCACTGCCATCACCCACCCACTGCCATCACCCACTCACTGCCATCACCCACCCACTGCCATCACCACCCACTGCCATCACCCACTGCCATCACCCACCCACTGCCATCACCCACTGCCATCACCACCCACTGCCATCACCACCCACTGCCATCACCACCCACTGCCATCACCCACCCACTGCCATCACCCACTGCCATCACCCACCCACTGCCATCACCCACCCACTGCCATCACCACACACTGCGATCACCCACCCACTGCCATCACCCACTGCCATCACCCACTCACTGCCATCACCACCCACTGCCATCACCCACTGCCATCACCCACCCACTGCCATCACCCACAGCCATCACCCACCCACTGCCATCACCCACCCACTGCCATCACCCACCCACTGCCATCACCCACTGCCATCACCCACCCACTGCCATCACCCACCCACTGCCATCACCACCCACTGCCATCACCCACCCACTGCCATCACCCCTCACTGCCATCACCCACTGCCATCACCCACCCACTGCCATCACCACCCACTGCCATCACCCACTGCCATCACCCACCCACTGCCATCACCCACCCACTGCCATCACCCACCCACTGCCATCACCACCCACTGCCATCACCCACCCACTGCCATCACCACCCACTGCCATCACCACCCACTGCCATCACCCACCCACTGCCATCACCACCCACTGCCATCACCCACTCACTGCCATCACCCACCCACTGCGATCACCCACCCACTGCCATCACCACCCACTGCTATCACCCACACACTGCCATCACCCACCCACTGCGATCACCCACCCACTGCCATCACCACACACTGCCATCACCCACCCACTGCCATCACCCACACACTGCCATCACCCACCCACTGCGATCACCCACCCACTGCCATCACCACCCACTGCTATCACCCACACACTGCCATCACCCACCCACTGCGATCACCCACCCACTGCCATCACCACACACTGCCATCACCCACCCACTGCGATCACCCACCCACTGCCATCACCACACACTGCCATCACCCACCCACTGCCATCACCACCCACTGCCATCACCCACCCACTGCCATCACCACCCACTGCGATCACCCACCCACTGCCATCACCCACCCACTGCCATCACCACCCACTGCGATCACCCACCCACTGCCATCACCACCCACTGCCATCACCCACTCACTGCCATCACCCATCCACTGCCATCACCACCCACTGCCATCACCCACTCACTGCCATCACCACCCACTACCATCACCCACTGCCATCACCCACCCACTGCCATCACCCACCCACTGCCATCACCACCCACTGCCATCACCCACCCACTGCCATCACCACCCACTGCCATCACCACCCACTGCCATCACCCACCCACTGCCATCACCACCCACTGCCATCACCCACTCACTGCCATCACCCACCCACTGCGATCACCCACCCACTGCCATCACCACCCACTGCTATCACCCACACACTGCCATCACCCACCCACTGCGATCACCCACCCACTGCCATCACCACACACTGCCATCACCCACCCACTGCCATCACCCACACACTGCCATCACCCACCCACTGCGATCACCCACCCACTGCCATCACCACCCACTGCTATCACCCACACACTGCCATCACCCACCCACTGCGATCACCCACCCACTGCCATCACCACACACTGCCATCACCCACCCACTGCGATCACCCACACACTGCCATCACCACACACTGCCATCACCCACCCACTGCCATCACCACCCACTGCCATCACCCACCCACTGCCATCACCACCCACTGCGATCACCCACCCACTGCCATCACCACCCACTGCGATCACCCACCCACTGCCATCACCACCCACTGCCATCACCCACTGCCATCACCCACTCACTGCCATCACCCATCCACTGCCATCACCACCCACTGCCATCACCCACTCACTGCCATCACCACCCACTACCATCACCCACCCACTGCCATCACCACCCACTGCCATCACCCACTCACTGCCATCACCACCCACTACCATCACCACCCACTGCCATCACCCACCCACTGCCATCACCACCCACTGCCATCACCACCCACTGCCATCACCACCCACTGCCATCACCCACTGCCATCACCCACTCACTGCCATCACCCACTCACTGCCATCACCCACCCACTGCCATCACCCACCCACTGCCATCACCCACTCACTGCCATCACCACCCACTGCCATCACCACCCACTGCCATCACCACCCACTGCCATCACCACCCACTGCCATCACCACCCACTGCCATCACCCACTGCCATCACCCACTCACTGCCATCACCCACCCACTGCCATCACCCACCCACTGCCATCACCCACCCACTGCCATCACCCACTCACTGCCATCACCACCCACTGCCATCACCACCCACTGCCATCACCACCCACTGCCATCACCACTCACTGCCATCACCACCCACTGCCATCACCACCCACTGCCATCACCACCCACTGCCATCACCACACACTGCCATCACCCACCCACTGCCATCACCACACACTGCCATCACCACCCACTGCCATCACCACCCACTGCCATCACCACCCACTGCCATCACCACACACTGCCATCACCCACCCACTGCCATCACCACCCACTGCCATCACCACCCACTGCCATCACCCACCCACTGCCATCACCCACCCACTGCCATCACCCACTCACTGCCATCACCACCCACTGCCATCACCACCCACTGCTATCACCCAATCACTGCCATCACCCACTTGCTGGCCTCCTTGATGAGCTGGATGGCGAGACGGATCCTGGTGCACAGACAGAGGATGAGGAGCAGGTAGATGGTGGTGATTGTTGCCGAGATGCAGCCTGAAACACACATGTATACCCCGTGAACGTGTGGGCTCAAACTGGTCCCCACCAAACCCATGTTTGTTATAAGATACGACTAGTGAGATCAGCTGTGACTCGCTGACTCGCTCTCACAAAATCTATTTTTAGTTTCAAAAACGAACCAGATTTGACAGAATGAACTTGCTTTAACTAAATCATCCTAATTTCTTTTTAGTGGCAATTGGAAGTTGGTACAATGAACAGGGGAGATAGTTCTATGGATATACAACTTCTTTATTACAACGACTGCTAAATCAGTTAGAGTGAGTGAGTGAGTGAGTGAGTTTGGTTTTACGCCGCATTTAGCAATATTCCAGCAATATCACGGCGGGGGACACCAGAAATGGGCTTCACACATTGTACTCATGTCGGGAATCGAACCTGGGTCCTCGGCGTGACGAGCGAACGCTTTAACCACTAGGCTACCCGACCGCCCCTAAATCAGGTAGACCAGTGGGTGACAGCATGAGCACCTTGTCACACAGAGTATGCCACACTGAAACCACCTGATCATCCATCTAGTCTGCTCATTACACAAGAACAAATTCCACAATTATCCAAATTTGAATTTACCAAAAGCAAGCCATGTTTTCTGTAGGGACAGAAAGTAGTTGAAATTGGAAGCAAAGGATGGTGCGAAGCCGTAGGTAGCCGTCGTGTTGGAAAACTTCAACTCGTAGTACTTCGAGTAGCTGTAGTAGGTTGCTGAAACAACACAGAGGAATTAAAACTCAATACATCAACGATAAGTGAAGTTAGATACCAATCTGACATTAATCTTACACCAGACAACCATTATAGAATAACCAATGAGATACAAGAGATTACGGATTATCTGTCCCAAGTGAATGAAAGGTGTAAATCCGGAGTCTTGGCCTACAGCATTCATTCATGACGGCCAGATTATCCATAATTCCGACTTTCAAGTTGGATTTTCTATATATTACTCAAAGATATTTTAATGAGAAAATGAAGCAAAACTCTACACAGAAACTTCACTGAACGGGAATCGAACCCAGCTGGTTAGAAACTAGTGTTTCTGCTTTGCAAAAGGGATGTGTATTTTACTGATAACAGGACAAGTGACAAGGAATGGCTTTATGCTTGATTGTATATCTTGTCACATATGTTAAATCTGTAAAACATGTCAGCAAAATTTCAGCTTCATGGGTTTCATTTGGGAGGATACAGCGCACCCTCACTAGGGCACACTTACTAGGGCGCTCTCACTAGGGCGCTGTCACTAGGGCATCCTTTCTTAGGCATCCTCACTACGGCATCCTCACTAGGGCATGCTCATTAGGGCAATCTCACTAGGGCACTCTCACTAAGGCATCCTCACTAGGGCATCCTCATCAGGGCGCCCTCACTAGGGCATCCTCACTAGGGCATCCGCATCAGGGCACCCTCACTAGGGCGCTCTCATCAGGCACCCTCACTAGGGCATCCTCACTAGGGCATCCGCATCAGGGCACCCTCACTAGGGCGCTCTCACTAGGGCATCCTCATCAGGGCGCTCTCACTAGGGCATCCTTATCAGGGCGCTCTCACTAGGGCATCCTCATCAGGGCGCCCTCACTAGGGCATCCGCATCAGGGCATCCTCACTAGGGCATCCGCATCAGGGCACCCTCACTAGAGCATCCGCATCAGGGCACCCTCACTAGGGCATCCGCATCAGGGCACCCTCACAAGGGCATCCTTACTAGGGCATCCACATCAGGGCACCCTCATTAGGGTGCTGTCGCTAGGGCACCCTCACTAGGGCGCTCTCACTAGGGCACCCTCATTAGGGCACCCTCATTAGGGCGCTCTCACTAGGGCATCCTCACTAGGGCACCCTCACTAGGGCGCTCTCAGAGACTAAGGCGCTCTCACTAAGGCATCCTCACTACGGCATCCTCACTAGGGCGCCCTCACTAGGGCACCCTCCATAGGGCACTCTCACTAGGGCATCCTCACTAGGGCATCCTTACTACGGCACCCTCACTAGGGCACCCTCACTAGGGCACTCTCACTAGGGCATCCTCACTAGGGCACCCTCACCAGAGCGCTCTCACTAGGGCATCCTTACTACGGCACCCTCAATAGGGCACCCTCACTAGGGCATCCTCACTAGGGCACCCTCAATAGGGCGCTCTCACTAGGGCATCCTAACTACGGCACCCTCACTACGGCACTCTCACTAGGGCACTATCACTAGGGCACCTTGAGCTGAACCCTGTGAAATGTGCCAACATTCCTCTTCAATTGTAAGTTGCTGGAAGCCAGCGTGTGTGTACTCACAGAAACCCAGGAGTCCGAGGAGTGCGAAGATAGTGACCCACACCATGATGCCAGCCAGCCATCGCAGCAGCACGATCCAGATCATAGCAACCAGCATAGCCATGCCCAGGCCCCTGTCACAGAACAAAGAGTCAGACATACAGACAGTCAGAGGTAGACATACAGACAGTCAGAGAGTCAGACATACAGACAGTCAGAGAGTCAGACATACAGAAACAGCAACCAGCATAGCCATGCCCGTCACAGAACAGTCCGAGAGTCACACATAGACAGTCAGAGAGTTAGATATACAGACAGTCAGAGAGGTAAACATACAGACACAACAACCAGCATAGCCATGCCCAGGCCCCTGTCACAGAACAGTCAGAGAATCAGACATAATGACAGTCAGAGGTAGACATACAGATAGTCAGAGAGTGAGACATACAGATAGTCAGAGAATCATACATTAGAGCATATGGAGAGACAGAGAGTTAGGCGTGCAGCATGTCATTCAGTTTGTCTGATAGATGCTCATACTTTTTACATTCGGATGGACATTCATCAGGACGTCCTGACTACTGTACTCACACCAACAGCATCCACCACGAGGCCACCACGTCCTTGTAGATGAGCTCCCCGTACTCCTTGAACTGGAAGAACAGGGCAAGGAAGCTGCAACAAAAATAGTCCTTCAGTGCTGCACTCGGCAATGACCCAGCTGATGATGGTGGGACCCGTGAAGATCCGGGGTACTACAGGTCTTCAGCAACCCATGCTTGTCGTAAATGGCGACCATGCTTGTCGTCGAGGCAACTAACGCTATTGATGCATGTCATCATATCCCAATTGCACGGATCGATGCTCACAATGTCAATCACTGGATTGCCTGGTCCAGACTTGATTATTTACAGACCGCTGTCATATAGCTGGAATATTGCTGAGTGCGGCGTTAAACAACAAACAAACAAACAAACAAAAATGATGGTATCCCCAAAAGGGTGTTACTCATTCTTCTGCTTGTGTGTGCAGTCAATCTTTCTTTCTTTCTTTGTTGTTAAATGCCTTACTCCAGCAATATTCCAGTTATATGATGGCGGTCTGTAAATAATCAAGTATGGATCAGACAATGCAGTGATTGACATCATGAGTATCGATCAGTGCAGTTGGGATATGATGAGATGCATCAACCAAGTCAGCGAGTCTGGCCACCCGATCTGGTTAGTCGTCTCTTATGACAAGCATAGTCGCCTTTCATGGCAAGCATGGGTTGCTGAAAACCTATTCTACCCTGGATCTTCATGGGTCCGTGCAGTCAATACTTGAGGGAAGTGCCATTTAATGGAAAATGATGATAGGAAAAGAAATAATTAAATACTATTTGCTGCCAACTTTTGAACGATGTTCTCAACATTTTCATGTATTTGTTGACTGCAGTTAAATCCAATGCTTGTTGTGAGACACTACATCTTATAAGTGAATAAAAAACATTTACATGTTCCAGGATAGGAGAAAAAATGAACTTGAGACAACATCGTAATATTGGTTCGGACCAAGATTTATCACTACTGTCTGAGACAGGAAAATAGCATCTTTCTTCTTCTTATTATTATTAAATTGAAAATGAGGTCTAGATGCTATGTAAATCATATTTGAACACTACAACTCACTAGCTTGCGTTGTCCAGGGCATTCCCAGTGACATTGGTACCATCAGAGGATTGAAGGACATAACCTCCAGAGGTCGAGAGGTCAGAGGCCAGATCTGTGATCTGTCCAAATATGGAGGGTATGCACCGACCAATCACTGTGAAGAAAATATTTTCATGAAAAGTAGATTGAGCTTAAAAATATTCTCAATAAAGTTACAAGAAATTGAGATATTTATTAAGTAAAGAATGTTTAGCAGAATCAGCACACCAAGAAATACAACCGGTAATTATTCGCTTGATTGGGAGACACATTCATCTGTTCTGGATCACTCCTTCAGTCATCATTATTTGAACTAACTTCACTGAAGTACCTATTCCTGACCACTAGATATATCTACTATGCTGCTAACTCCATCTTTCCGAGGCAAGGGAGTTAACTGACTTTAAAAGTCTAGTTTCCACTCTTCCCAAACTAGGCTGGAATTCCCAGGCTCGATCCTAGCGCCACCAGTGGCTAATACGAGTTATGTCCCTTCTATGTCCCTCCTATTGACCAATCAGATTACACCCCTTGTATCACTTGCATTTGCTTCAAACAAAATGGCGGACCAAGTCAAGACAAGCTGATGGATATTCAAGATCTATATTGTAATACAACGGGTCTTACCCTGTGAAGTGCATCAGATCACTTAAGCACCTTGATTAAAAATATGAACAGATTTGCAAAATATCAATCGATACCCAGTTGGGGGTACACATGCTTTGCAAATCCTTCAATTGACCTAAATCTGATGGTTGAAATCCATGTTGTTCACGAACATCTGATGTCGTGGACATGATTTTGATTGGACTATGCATAGACTCGTTAGTTCAGCCAAAATGTAACTCCATAATACCAGCCAAGTTGGGCAAGGGTGGAAACTGGACTTGTATAGTCAGTTAACTCCCTTGCCCCAGGAAGATGGCCAAGTCACTTTACAAAGACAACTTGATTGTACAAAAGATCAGCCACAGGACTTCTTTCTTGCATGATTTGGTTTACAGGTTTTTGTCATTGTTTTGTTTGCTGGGTCAGTGGCCAAAATTGAAATAAACAAAAAATGAGACCAATCAATTTTTACAAATTTCTTTTGTAAAAACAACACAGTCTAGGATGTAAATATGACAAAATTTCAAATTGTCAATTTTTCTCATATTTCTGTGAAATATGATAAGAATGTTCACATGGGACAAATGCACTGACAGCGTAGAGACACGGGGAAACTATAAACAGTATTCATCCTCGCTACTACTTGTGTTTTTAACCTGTCAGACAAGGTAACAATATAGTTTCGGCGGTGAAATGAAAAATAAAAGTAGAATTCAATTTTATTCCTCATTCTTTAAAACCTGGAGGATCAAACACTAAAATGCTTTAAATACACGAGCATACCGTATTTCCTCGATTAAACGCCCTGATGAATATTTCTTTCAAACACTCTTTACCCCTGGCATTTAACAGCAAGGCAAATAATGGGAATATACTAATAATGTGCATTGTAAATAACCGATTTTTTCATCGAGGCCAGGCATTTAATCGAGACCTGGCATTTTATTCAAGGCCCAGCATTCAGTATAAGACCTGGCGGTTGTTTGAGTCCTGGCATTTAATCGAGGAATACGGTAAACTGAGTGGTCAGTTCAGTGTGGGTCAAGGTGTACCTGCAGTGTTCTCCACGTAGTAGGGGGCACAGTCCTGGTTGTCAATCAGAGTCTGCAGATTCGACTGGAACAAACACACAGCAAATGATATACAAGGAATCATTATATACTTCAGTGTGAAAGGCTTAGTTTTCCGAAGTTGAGAAAAGTGTTATTTTCATTGCAGTGAACATAACAAATGATATTTCACTGCAGTGAACATAACACATGATATGTCACTGCTGTGAACATAACACTTTGACGGAACTATAGTCATACAAGAGTGACCTCCCCTCAAATTGTCTCCCTTTATCGTAAGTGTCCAGCCCGTACACAAACTGTTGACGGAACTATAGTCATACAAAAGTGACCTCCCCTCAAATTGTCTCCCTTTATCGTAAGTGTCCAGCCCTTACACAAACTGTTGACGGAACTATAGTCATACAAAAGTGACCTCCCTCAAATTGTCTCCCTTTATCGTAAGTGTCTAGCCCTTACACAAACTGTTGACGTCCTTTTCACATTAGTTCCTCATTGACAAGACACAATAATGACAGATGGTCATTTATGGAGTTGATATGGCTTCATGTCTTTTGTTATTTTCTTGAAAATGTTTCGTTATAAACTGTAAAGGTCTCACTTAACTCGTCAATCGAGAACGTTCGTTTGCACAGCGCCATTTTTGTTAATTGACCAGCGTGTATTCTTTCGCTTCCAACAGCGGTCTTGATGTTTTCAAGAATAGTTTTTGTTAAAGTTGATTTTGTATACAATCATATCTACATGTTTGATACAGAATTTTCACAACCATAAATATTTTTTGTTACTGTTGTTAATATTTTTTTTTATGATTTTCAAACATGATACTACATTTTTAGTCACAAATACAAGGGGTTGGGACTAGATGAGAAAAACATGATATTTCATTCAACACATGAAATATCCTTTATTTATAAGGTGCAACCAGAAAAATCCCATCTTTTACTCCAATTGGGTAGCTCTCAAAGCAGAATGCTTGATTCTGACTGGTTAAAATGAGGTATCAAAATCAAATTTGATACCACTACATTAAGCCTTTCCACATAAAGAAATGGGCACGTGAATACATCAGTAGCCATCATACTGATCCACTAAAAACAGCTGCTTTAACCTGTCAGTATAAGTCAGTGCTAAGGTATGGGAGATCCAATCACCTTAGCGCTAAGGTATGAGAGATCCAATCAACTTTGAGTTAAGGTATGAGAGATCTAATCAATCAACATAGCATTACGATATGGGAGATCCTATCAACTTAGCGTTAAGGTAAGGGAGTTCATATCAACTTAGCGCTAAGATTGCTTCACACAATGGCACCCAGAACATGTGCAAAGCTGCATACCTACTCATCAAAGAAAATGACTGTGTCTATATTACTCACAGTGGCGGTGGGATCTACGCTGTTTTTACACAACATCTTGCTCCTCTCGGCGGTCAGCATGCCTCCTGCCACCGTCTCCAAGGCCTGCGTTTCCAGGTACACGTAGTAGGTGCTGGTACAGTTGGTCACACACACCTGCATCAAGACGGAGATACAGAAGATGAGTCAGTTGCAGCAACGCTGCCATGACCAGCACTTCTAGGATATAATGAAAGTGCACCGAAATTCGGGGTTTAAATGTCACTTTCATTTTCTATAGTCACTGATCGCTTTATTCATTCATTAAACTATAAGAAAATCCCAAAACTTCCACTCGTGACCGAAAAGTTTGTTTACTGAAGCCATTTGCATTCATCATCCATTCATGGACACGAAATGTGATGTCACCTTGATTTGTGGATTACGGAGTAGGTTAGTGTATCATGACAGCCTAATGAGGAAGCTCAAGGTGATGCAGGCCTAGACGTTATGGTACCCCAATTAGGGTGGTGGAGTTACAATTTAACTTCACATTGGCATTGTTTCGGCCTTACTTAATCCATCTGGAAACCCATGAGCACAGATATGTCGCAGACAAACCCAGAATCATAATCATGGCGAATATGGGATTTGAACCCATAATCATAGGATTCTGATATGGCTAAGGGACATAACTCTGCATAGAGGTGAATGGGTTTATTAACATCACAGTCAAGATTATTGCACTCATACAGTGAGCATGTGTGTCTGGTTTCTGAGACGCCATGTCGCAGTATAACATGGATACCAAACTCACACACAGTATACTGACTCCAAGCCGACCAGTTCTTGATTTAGCCCCTTAATGATGCGTGTCAAATAGGGTTACAAACCAAAAAAAAAAAAAAATGTGAGCTCCATTAAATAAATACTTTTTTACCATCTTTTTGTTTTTTTTATATTTCCAGAGTCAAGTTAAAGAACCTCAGCTCTAATCTTGAAACATTTCACTCTTTTTTTTTATGTCCGTTTTGGGGGGCATTTCAAAATAGAAATCTAACCAGGATTGTGACAACAATATCCTTTCCACTGGATGAATGAGTGGGCAATACACCCAGACCCTCTGGACCAGACAATCCAGTGACTGACATCATGAGCATAGATCTTCACAACTGGGACAAGATGACAAGCACCAACCAAGTCAAAGAGCCTGATCACCTGATCCCATTAGTCACCTCTTACAACAAGCATAGTCGCCTGTTAGGGCAAGCATTGGTTGCTGAAGACCTATTCTACCCCGGATCTTCACGGGTTGCATGACACTATAATGGTGAGGGTCCTGATGGGGTGGGGTCACAAGTTAACAGTCAGACAATCTGGTCCGGGGGAATTGATCTCATGACTGTATCATGTCTTACTCATACACACAAACAAACACACCCATTTTATGTAAAAAAAAAATCAAAGCCTTCCACAATTAGTGGAACATTTTTCCATGACCCCTAAATAATGTTCAAATTCATAACCTTCTTATTTGAAAAAACTTAAAAATGTATCATCTTTTCATGGCTTGCACCATATAGTTGTGATACATTTAGGCAACCACCCTCCAATATATTAAATGACCAGTTAATTAGCAGTTTTTTTTACATTTTATGGTAATTTTTGTACAATAAAGATTTGACTCATCTCAAATTGACAATGTTTTAAAAGTTGTTTTAAAAGTTGTTTTACGCCAAACAGTATACCCCATCAGGACCCCCAATCATAGCAACCCAGTGTCATTTGTCAATTTGATCACCCCACAAGTAGGAGTACTTGTCTGACAGATCAACAATCACAACCAGGGTGAATTTGCAATTCTATTCCTGGGTCAGCTAAGGGACACAACTCTGCATAGGCCGTGCTCCCCCTATGTCAAAGAGGACAAACACTGAATAATAAATCAGATTACCTGAGGCGTGGGGCACCCAAACGTTATGACACCAACTCCCATTTTAGCACACTCCAGCAGGTCAAAATACATCAAGTTGGGCTTGGATCTGAAATACAACACCTCATACGTGAGGGTGGATTAAATTTCACAGCCTCGCCTCAACACAAGTAGTTTGTATGTTTGTTTGTTTGTTGCTTAACAGCGCACTCAGTAATATTCCAGCAATATGACAGTGGACTGTAAATAATCCAGTCTGGGCAGACAATCTATTGATTGACATCATGATCATGTCTTCGTAATTTGGATCGATGACATGCATCAAGCACGTCAGCAAGCCTGACCACCTGATCCCGCTAGTCGCCCCTTACGACAAGCATGGGTTCCTGAAGACCTGTTCTAACCCGGATCTTCATGGGTCCCAACATGATTGTAAAAGTATAGTGCAATATAAACCAGTTCAACCAATTATGTACTTATCTTTTTAACCAATTGTAATGGTGGTCTTTCAGAAATAAAACATTGTGAGTAGACATGAGTAAAACTTGGCTACTGGTTATCAGGTGAGGTGAGGTGAAATGGGGTTTAACGTCGCGTCCAAGATTATTGCACTTATATAGCGATGTGCATGCACGTGTATGTGTGTGTATGGCTGCTTGTACTAGTCTGGACTGATGCCGATTTAAAGTGCTAGCTCACTGAGATACCATGGCGCAGTTTAAAATGAATACCCCACTCAGACACGGTATACTGACTCCGAGCCGACCAGTCCTTGTTTGAGCCCCTTAATGCCGAGCGCCAGACAGGGTAACAAATACCATATTTAAAGGTCTTTTGGTATGACGCGGTCGGGGATCGAACCCTGGACCTTCCGCTCCCGGGGCGGACACTCTAGACAACCACTGATAGATGTTTATTCTGACAACTATAAACTATCTGCTCATCAGCTTAGTCCGAGACTTGGTGACACGTACGCATAGTCCCCCGAGCCACACAGGTTGCCGTCGCTGTCGGTGGGGTAGATCAGCTTGATGGGGTTCCCACGAACATATCCTGTAAGAAATGAAACTTTCACATTCATGTATCTGCTGGAAACAAGAAATAAGGAAAAATTTACTTCTCCAATTTTATGATTTAGTAGATTTATTTACAAGCTTAGCTAAATGTAATCTTGTTCAAAGTCCAAAGCCATAAATCAACTGGCAAGAGTTTATCTGCACTTCTGTTCAGTGAGTGAGTGAGTGAGTGAGTGAGTGAGTGAGTGAGTGAGTGAGTGAGTGAGTGAGTGAGTGAGTGAGTGAGTGAGTGAGTGAGTGAGTGAGTGAGTGAGTGAGTGAGTGAGTGAGTGAGTGAGTGGGTGGGTGGGTGGGTGGGTGGGTGGGTGGGTGGGTGAGTGTGTGAGTGAGTCGCTTTTAGCAATATTCCAGCAATATCACGGCGGGGGACACCAGAAATGCGCTCCACACATTGTACCCATGTCGGGAATCAACCCGGGTTTTCGGCGTGATGAGCGAACGCTTTAACCACTAGGCTACCCAACTGCCCCTGTCTGTTTACAAATTCTGTAAAGTAAGCGTCTATGGGTAATACAATACGAGCCCCATATCCTAGCACGCATTGAGGAGTGGGTGCAGCCAGGGACTCATCATGTATTCTGGTGCAGCACCACCCTCGACCAGGTTGTTTGTATATCATCTGTAGCTATGTACAGGGGACCTGAATGTAACACACATTACCCTTGTTTGTTTGTTTGTTATTTAACGCCGCACTCAGCAATATCACAGCTATATGACAGCGGTCAGTAAATAATCGAGTCTGGACCAGACAGTCTATTGATTGATATCATGTCAGCATTGATCCTCGCAACTGGGATATGATGACATGCATCAACCAAGTCAGCATTGCCTGACCACCCGACGACAAGCATAGTTGCGTTTTACGGCAAGCATGGGTTGTTGAAGGTCTATTCTACCCCGCATCTTCAGGGGAACATGTCATCATGAACAAGATCCTTACCTAACACAGAACATGCAACCATGGCTAAAACACAGATGAAGAAGAGCAGGCAGCAGATGACATCAGTGCACGATCTGAAACACAATTCAGTTCAGGATGAGACAGGGTCAATGGTGTTTGTTTAGGATGTAGATGGCCATCTTTAGACTTTCTACAGATTTATTCTTGTCAACTCAAAATGTAAAAATGTATGTGGTGGCACATAGTCCTGTGCATCAGGTGAAGTAAAGCATGCCCCCGAGTTGGGTGGAAATATGTGCACTATAGATAGTCTCTTATTATTACTATTGTAAACAAACCATAAATATTCCATGTTCTAGTTCTGCCTAGTTACAGTAAAATAACAAAACATAATCAACATATCCTGAAAACTGTAGTTGTTATTTGCGTCTTGACTGCACTAAAACATGCACAATAGCAGTACCGTGAGGAGGACTCGATTAAAAAAACCTCGTTTAACTTGCACCAGATGCATGTTGACAAGAAAACCAAGTTGTACTAGACAACAACACCAGGAATTTGTTGTATCTACACTTGATGCATGTAGACATCAATATTAGGTTGCACATTAATAATAAGTTGCACTGGTGAATTTACATAGGTGAATCTACGCAGAGGGGAATATGTGGTTTTACACGACGATCTGGAGGCAAGTGGCAAGCCTAACACACGTAAAACCACATATAGCCCTTGTGATAGGTCTACAACAAGTTTTTCTTGCAACCATGTTTTAATCCGAGAAGAATTAAAAAAATTGAAATCAGACAGCAAGCTGTTCGATTAAGCTGAAGTTAACTTCTGCAGTTTTTGCTTCGTAGCGAGGTGCAAGAGATTTAATGACCCTCTCAGAAATTCATTTGCAGCCTGTTTTCTTCATGGCGGGGTATAAGGAATTTATTCTCCCACCCAGAAATATGTTTCCCTATAATGATCATAATGAGAACAAATCTGGGATTCAAACCCATGATCAGAGAATCATGGCCAACAAAGGGAGTTCACTCTGCATAGCAAATTGTGGCACTGTGGATGAATTAGCCAACCATGTTCCTGGGTCATGTGAAATTTGCTGAGACTGAATCTAAAGTATCTTCCTCAAATTTGTCAGTGTATCCAGCTGAATGTGTTTCAAAATTAATAATAAACTATAAATCATCAGCATAGTCAAACTGAAGCGCAGTCCACTTAAATACAGAGCAATGGCAGGTGTATCTGCACAGAACACAATTGACTTGAATGATATTATTTATTTTGAAGCACATCAATAAAAATTGCAAGTGATCTTGTGGCATTTGATTTGCCAACCAAGATTTTTTTTGCATTTCTTTTCATAAACCCACAAAATTTAGGTCAGGTCCACTAACGGACGCTTGTTTCTTGATTGGTTCAAAATAAAGTGGGTCAGGTTTTGTTCTATTATTGAGCTGAATGATGTCACTTATTTTGTATCGTTGTCTACAGTTTTCTGTGTGTTAATCAGGGGTCCTGAAACAGTCATATGTGCCAGACATGTCCGATTGGGAATCTCAAATGTCTGATTTAAAATATTGCTTACCGGACATTTAAATTTTTCTGTCCAGACATTTTAAAAAACAAACAATGCTACCTTCGGGGTCCAAATAATTTATGAGCGTTATCGTATCCCTTCAACACTTCAGGTGAATAAACAGGCATAACAAACTTGGTCAATAAAAGTATGAAATTTGATATAAAAAATCACTAGACATGATGATTTTACAATTTAAAATGTATTTCCTGCTCTCAAAGGCATTGTTTTATATACCGTGTGTATTTTCACGTAAACTAAGCCGGAAATAGCAAGCAGCTGTGCACACGTTTCCCCCCAATCTACCAGTGATTCAGTTAAAACGTACCCAATGAGAATCATTACATCTATGAGCAATATATGAATTTATTATCGTTAACATATTTATTAATAAGAATTGACTCAATGTGTTTATTGGGGGGATTTCAGCAATATGCACATCGTTTTTTATGTTATTACCTCCATAAACGCCAAAAAAATTGAAGTCAATTCTAAAATGGGTTGAGGACAACAAATTTGAAATACAAGTTACTGGCAAAGGTGATGGACTGGTGTTGGGTTTGTGATAATCCATGTTAACTTAGACTTAACATGCTTAATGAATAGATCTCACAATCACTGAGGTACCAATCCCCTGTGTAGCACCAACAAATCCATTACATTGAAATGAGGTGAGGTGAAATTGGGTTTAACGTCGCGTCCAAGATTATTGCACTTATATAGCGACGTGCATGCACGTGTATGTGTGTGTGTGGCTGCTTGTACTAGTCCGGACTGATGCCGATTTATAGTGCTAGCTCACTGAGATACCATGCCGCAGTTTAACATGAATACCCCACTCAGACACAGTATACTGACTCCGAGCCGACCAGTCCTTGTTTTAGCCCCTTAATGCCGAGCGCCAGACAGGGTAACAACACGTACAATCTTTTAACGTCTTTTTGTATGACGCGGCCCGGGATCAAACCCTGGACCTTCCGCTCTCCGGGCGGACGCTCTACCACAAGACCACGGAGGCGGTTAAATTGAAATGAACTATACATCAATAACAACAACGGACATAATCGAGGTGAGTGTTGGCGTTTCATTCCTTCTTGATGGACACAGATTATTTGATCTGTAACTTTACAGGGGAAGATACATACCGTTGCTTTATCGGTCCTTTAAAGTTAGGGTCAAATTTCTTTGCTTCCCCTGAAAAATAAAAAAAACAGGTATGAATAACTGCATCATATATACAACCATGATATCGGACAAGCTGGGTCAGGAGATGGAGTATGTGAGTGAGTGAAGGTTGTTAATATGCCGCAGTCAGCAGCCTGTCAACGATTGAGTCTGATTTGTTTGTTTGTTGCTTAACGCCACACACGGTCTGTAAATAATCAAGTCTGGAAAAGACAATCCAGTGACTGACATCATGAGCATCGAGCTACACAATTGGGATACAATGACATGCATCAGCCGAGCCTGAGCACCTGATCTCATTAGTTGTCTCTTACGACAAGCATGGGTTGCTGAAGACCTATTCTACCCCAGATCTTCACCCGTCAATTGAGTCTAGAACAGGACAAGCTAGTGACAGGAACCGTGACCAACAATATATATTACTGTATTCGACGTAATAAGCGCCCAGGGCGCTCTCAAAATTAGAAATAGGGGGCTCTTATTAGAATGTTATTTTGGTGGAAAAACAGAGTTGAAAGATAAATTTCGTGGTTTATGCTGACAGCCTGAAATGTTTATGTACGACAGATATATTTTTCCAGAATTAAATGCCCATAATTAAGGGTGCATAAAACACACGAGTGCATATTATATATCTTGTGTACATTGATCACTCGGAAGGGGTGCTGATTGGGATTGTTCAATGGCTAAATATCTTAGCAAATGTCACCGTGGGCGCTTATTACGTCGAATACGGTAATCCATGTCATCGGAACACATAATCAGCCACATACAGAGTTCCAGCAAAAGCTTATCATCATAACCCAACTAATTTGGAGTTGCATGTGTACAGATACACATTTAAACACACAAAACAATAACCATGATAACAAAGCTACCGTATGTATAATTACCTAATATAGCCTACATGTGTGTGTATACAGATCTTTGTCTCGCTTCCTTACATCTAGCTGTGGGACCCGTGAAGATCCGGGGTAGAATAGGTCTTCAGCAACCCATGCTTGCCGTAAAAGGCGACTATGCTTGTCGTCAGAGGCGACTGATGAGATCGAGAGGCCAGGCTCGCTGACTTGGTTGATACATGTCATCGTATACCAATTTCGTGGATCGATGCTCATGACATTAATCACTGGATTGTCTGGTCCAGGCTCGATTATTTACATATAGCTGGAATATTGCTGAGTGCGGCGTTAAACAACAAACCAACAACAACAACAACAAACATCTAGCTATTGAGTTCAGCAGCTATTGACAGCTCCTCATGACATGGTAAGAGAATGGACAGACAAATGGAAGCAGATGGACAGCAGGATTAACAATATGTCCCCCCAATGAAGTAGCTATTTTGCTTGCATAGACAGAAAGGACAGCCACAACGTAGAGTGTTAATACAATAGACAAGTAGGCCAATTCATACTGAATGCAGCTGTAAAGTTTCCGTGGCAACATGTCTACCTGTATATCCTGAGTTTCTGTAAACACTGCAGGAAGCATCTCCTTAGAGCTGAATAAGAATGAATCCAGGACTAATATCATTAAGTTAATGTCATATTAAAAAATGTACTTAGAAACTGGGGTTTAACATTGTGTTCAAGATAATTATTATAGTGTGTGTGTCGGCTTGTACTCGTCCGGACAAATGCCGATTTCATAGTGTTAGTCCACTGAGATACCATGCCACAGTTTAACATGAATACCCCACTCAGCACCAACCAGTCCTTTAGACCCTTAATGCCGAACGCCAGGCAGGGTTACAAGAAGTACCTTCTTTTAAGGTCTTTTGGTATGACGCGGCTGGGGATCGAACCCCATCCTTCTGAATTCCAGGAAGACGCTATGTCCACTAGGCCACAGAGGGCAGTGTTAGTAATGGCCACTAGTCCTGCTGTCCTTGCCAAAGTGCCCAAGAGTTAAGGTATCATAAGGAGTAGTAGACATTTGCCATTTTTATGGTTTTGCTTTATGTTATCATTATAAGGACAAGTGGTCTAAAGCTGTTAGTTTCTTTCTCTTGAGGGGGTCTCAAAGTGAAGAATTACTTGCAGTGTTAGTAATGGGCACTTGCCCTGTAGTCCTTGCCAAACTGCCCAACATCATCTTCCCGAGGCAAGAGAGTTAACTGACTTCAAAAGTCCAGTTTCCACCCTTGCCTAACTAGTCTGGAATTCCTGGGCTCGATCGTAGTGCCATCAGTGGTTATTATGAGTTATGTCCCTTCTAAGCCTCTCCAATGGACCAATCCGATTCCATCACTCGCATTTGTTTCAAACAAAATGGTGGCTTACAGTCAAGACGATCTGAACGATAATCAAAATCTATATTGTGATAAAACAGGTCTTACATCGCGAAGTGCATCAAATCAAGTGAGCACCTTGATTAAAAACATGAAAAGGTTTGGAAAATATCTGTTGACGAGTTTGCTTTGCAAGTCCTGCAATCGACCCAAATCTGCACGACAGTTTACAAACCGGATTTCGATTTCGTTGCGAGATTTTGATTGGAATATGCATAGACTCGTTAGTTCAGCCAAAATGTAACTCCATAATACCAGCCTAGTTCGGCAAGGGTGGAAACTGGACTTTTATAGTCAGTTAACTCTCTTGCCTCACCCAACAGTTAAGGTATCATAAGGATTAGCTACCGCTGCAATGGAGATGAGGATTAGCAACCAGTAACAGCATCACATGTTTCCATAAAACACGCAAACAAAATTACCATAACCCAATTAGGTTGAGTTGCTTGCGAACAAATACGCATGAAGAAATCTAATAACTCATTATACACTGTGTGCAGTTAACCAATGTAGATTTAACAGCTTGCATACACGGATGTCTTTACAAATCATTTGCTACTGACTGAAGACAGGCAACACCTATACATGAGGCCTACTGCAGTGAATAAAGCACAGATGTGCAATATCTCGCTTACTGTAACACAGACATGTATCACTGTTACTGGGTTATGCGACATGTGCGTCACTTGGAGCAGCACACAAATATATATATGCTAATTAAATGTAGCCTGAAACAATAAAAGTGGAATCATTTTTTTAAAAGTCCACTCATCAGTTTACAAAATCGGACTGGGACAGAGAGTAAATATACTGTTTGTTTGTTTCTTTGTGGTTTAACGCCACACTCAGCAATATTCCAGCTACATGACGGCGGCCTGTAAATAATCAAGAACGGACCAGACAATCATGATGTCATGAACATCGATCCACACAATTGGGATACGATGGCATGCATCAAGCAAGTCAGCGAGCCTGACCACCCGATCCTGAAAATCTAATCTCACCCGGATCTTCACGGGGCAAAAATATATTGACTACCCATAGAAAACCATTCAGTGATTTCTTGGCAGACAAATTTTTAAAATCGTTCTTTTGTTCAAAATTGAGAGTTTTATTAAAATCTTCCAAAATTTAGGGGTTTTTTAACATTAAATTTAAGCATATAATTATGTTAACCTCAACATTAAAGCCTCTCGCTTTATACATTATTAATTTGGTCATGTGATCAGTGAAACACAAGGCACCCTTACAAAGACATAACATTAGTCACATCTATAGCTACAAAAGTATGAATTGGGAAATGTTCCATTCTAATTAGGAACTATTGCTGACATTTTCACCAGACTCGGGCTGAATATCGGCCTCTGAGCAAGTTCAGATAAATCCCTGCTATCAATACCCAATGGGAATGACTAGTCCGAGCCTCAAAAGATTATCTGGAGCCCTGCGACATGCTAGTTGAACCTTTTGAATCAACTGTTAATATGCACAATGGTAGCCATACTCTCACCTTTCATTAACACAGTATACCATCACTCTTTGTCAGTGGTTCATAAACACATGCTTGTGGTCGAGTCGGTCAGAATCGTACAGTGGACACATGATTATTGAAGGTGTTTTGTTGCTTTTATTTATAAATATAGGTTTATAAATATAATCGTACCCGTGAAGATCTGGGGTATAATAGGTCTTCAGCAACCCATGCTTGCCGTAAAAGGCGACTATGCTTGTCGTAAGAGGCAACTTAAGGGATCGGGGTTCAGGATTGCTGACTTGGTTGATGCATGTCATTGTATCCTAATTGCGTGGATCGATTGTCACAAGGTTAATCACTGGATTGTCTGGTCCAGACTTGATTATTTAGACACTGTCGTCATATAGCTGGAATGTTGCTGAGTGCGGCGTTAAACTACAAACCAAAAATAAGTATAATTGGGGTGAATAGGGGATTTGAACCTTGCCATGACCGTGTTAAATTATAATATCCAGTACGTCAAGGGAAACAATCCTGAGTTATAAATATAACATAGAGATTACTCTGTGTGTGTTTTCGTATTGTAAATATTTTATTACGCCTTTTATTTTTTTGGTTTACAAGAAACTGGCCTAACTTTCAATGTAGGTGGTTGATAGAAATATATATAAATCATTCAAAATCGAGAATAGTGCTGCTACTAATGAATGAAAAACATACAAGCATTAACAGGGCTTAATACTGAAAGATAAATCATTGTGTTTTTTGTCTGGATAAAATCTTTTATGTATATTTTTCACCATTTTTCTTTCAAACAAATATGATAAAATTTTAGTATTTTTCATTTCGTAATTGTAAACAGTTGGCCCAAAATAGTAATTGTCATTTCATTTATTTTTTCTAATTTCAGGGATTTTTATCTGTCGGTCTCGTTAACGAACTAAAAAAAAAATTAAGGCATTTGGAATAAAAAAATTACGTGAACATTTGGTGAACATAAAAATACTTTTTTACCCTGATATATGATATTTATGATACAGAAACAACATTCTTATGATAAATTATTTTGGCTGAATTAAAGCAGTTTATTAGATTTTAATCTTCCATTTAAAAAATATTAATTGTGAAATAGAGAAATGAGAGTCTGTTTATTGGGGAAGTAGAATTAAGCCTCCAAATGGGAGTTTCTAATGTCAGAATAAACAGATTCGAGTGATTTTTCGGACTTAAACCATGTGGTTG